TTTCCCTGTATTATGACTTTTTTTTCTTTTTTACTCTTCTAGCGTGAAATAGTGTATTGCCTGGAACACGGTCTTATTTATCGCTGTGCAAACCAGTGCGTTGTGGCACTCTCTGTCTGTAGTGTCGAGATGCCTGACATCATCATAAAGGCCCTTCCTGTCTTAATAGTCAAATTAACCCACATTTCTGCTACAGCCAATATGGCAATCCCTCTCTTAGAATTTCTTTCAAGTAAGTGGTAATGTTGTTCTACTTTTGATCTTCTGTAGTTGTAAATGTATTGTTCGCACTGAATATGGGTATTTTGATTGTATTAGTGAAATGGAATGCATTGTAAGGGTTTCTTGGTTTTTGGTGATGCCCTTGCGCCATCCTAAAGATATAAATGTTTGATCGTCTCTTGTTTGTTACTGTTTTTCTATGTAAACTGCTTGCACACACTGAAGTGAAGACATGCTTTGTGTAGTGCAGCCATGCAGTGATGGGAAATACAAAGCTGCTTTTTCCACCTTGCTGTTCATAACTTAAATAGCGTGAAACTACACCATGATGTTAACTTCCATGTCAGCTGATGACTTAGAAGAAACAAAACAATTCAAATGAAACTGAACTGTGATATGGAATAGTTTGTGTTCAGACCTCACCCGTGTTGGTTTTCTTCTAGCTCTAGCGAGGCTGCCTCACCTCTACAGGAACTTTGCAGCAGAGCAGTATGCCAGTGTGTTCGCCATCTCCCTACCATACACAAACCCTTCCAAGTAAGTTCATAGCAAATGTGCTGCTTCTTCATCTGTAAAATTAAGAGAATGAGACATGCTTTTTTTGTAGTACTTGGGTCAGAGTTATTGACGGGATATTGCTCATTCTGGTATCTCTGGGCTTTTTCTGAAGAAGGGACACATTCACCTTGGAAAAAATACCTGGTTTTCTTGAACAGAACTTTTGAGGTTTTTTTGTTTATACTTACAGTAGGTAAAGGAACAGTTCTGTTTCTCAGATTGAAAAGTCCTTCAGTTCAGTTCTGGAATGGCATGATAATGCAGCATTAAACTTTGTGGAGATCCTTCTGCTGTTTTAGGTTTAACCAGTACATCGTTTGCCTGGCCCATCATGTGATAGCTATGTGGTTCATTCGGTGTCGCCTTCCCTTCCGAAAGGACTTTGTCCCCTATATTACAAAGGTAATGGACACTACTGAATCAAACAGTACATAATAAAAATCATTACTTTAAAACTGGTTTGAGAAGTTTAAAGGTTCTGTTCGAAGCTAGACAAATTCTCCTTTTCTTGTCAATATCTTTCTCAAAACTGACTGTGAGTTCTTGGGTGCTGGCCCATGATTGCAGTCTTTCAGCTGCACGTCCTAGCCATTGAAGCTGTTATCTGTTTGTTTCAATTGGCAGGGTTTGCGCTCGAATGTCCTCCTCTCCTTTGATGACACGCCTGAGAAGGACAGTTTCAGGGCTCGCAGTACAAGCTTGAATGAGAGGCCAAAAAGGTAAATTATATTTGACTCCAGCAGGGTCTTGTGTTCCCTGTTCTAGTGCTCACACCCTTCCCTGTGTTTTTCTGAAGAAGGCTGTGTCTAGTTATCCAAAATCTGACAGTGCATTTAAGCAAGCAAAGTAAACCTCTTTAGGTCAGGGGATTGGTAAAAGACGAACTTAGGTTGGTGAGAAGCTGGAACCAAACCAAGCTGACAGTCTCATAGTACATATGAGGGCATCACTGGCTGTTCTGTAAGCCTTTGCAGTAAGGTGGGGGGCTTTTTGTTGTTAATTTTTGAAAATCAGCAGTTCTTTCAGGTTGATGTGTGTCTCTACAATGCTACCAGAAGTAATAGAGAAGGGTAATACCAGAAGTAGTAGAATACCATGTTCATATTGATGGTGTTAACTCCTTTTGATAATTGATCTGTAACGACTATTTAAATGATTGCCAGAGAAATTGTTGTGATTAGCAACCTGTATAAATGGAGAGAGCCAAGGCTGTGGTTTTCCATAGTGTTATCTGTCAAGTCAGTGTAGACTGGGTGGCAGACAGCTGCCTTCTGTGTATCTGGATGGCCTGATCCTTTTTTTTTTTTTTTTATTTTGAAGCCATTATGTCAGTTTTAAGCAAAGCCTAATGTCTTTAGAAGTCAGAATGTATCTTGCCAACAGTCTTTCAAAGTAACATTTGCTGGGATAGGAAAATATTCCTTGGAAGGCATTCAGGGTTTCTCTAATGTCCTTTTACCTGCAGGGCTTACCTAAATTGGTTCACTTAACTTGCTTCAGTGTTAATGTGCAGTAAGCCTACAGTGGCATTTGAACCCTGGGGAAAGTGCCTCTACTTTAACTGCAAGGCTCGAAGAGTATCTTGCAACGAAGAAACACCATCCCTGCCCTAATGCTATAGCTGTAAACCCTGTTTTGTGTTTCATCTCTCCCATCTCCTCCTCTTTCATTCAGAAACTTGGAAGAGAAGCCTTTTGACACTTGTCTCTCAAATTAGAATTTCAACTAATCTTTTTTCCAAAAAACCTGTTAAATTCTACCAGGTTGGAATACTACTGTATCTAAAGGCTTTTGCTAACGCTGCTGGATCACTTTCCATGGAAATCTCTGCTAAGGAGTGTAGGCTGTACTCAGGCAGCAACCTGAAACGCCAGAATGGCAGGGTGCCACCGCCCCTGAGTCTGTCTGAGCTTGGATTCGGGTTAAATGAGAGAGGAAATAGCTTCGAGCAGATATTGTTTCCTTGCTTGAGAAGCTTGTGTGCTTGGTTTTCACCCATTAAGCCCAAAGAATAAGCATTTCCGTGGCCTAGCTGAGGTGCTGGGTGTTCCAAGAGATTAAGATCCCACCAGGTTGCTGAATGGCATGATGTTGGTGCAGGTGATTATCTCGGAGATTATCTCAGTTGTGGCCAAAAGTGATCTGTCAGAGGTTGTTGGGAGAAGAAGGACAAATAAATTCTAATCCCTCCAGGTGGCTATCTGAAGTGGAATAATTCACTGAAAGGAGGATAGCAAATAAATCATGTTTAGAAAGAGCCAGAAGGGTTAGATTAGTACCTGCATTTTATATACAGGGATGTGAACTGCTGGACCAACTGTTATGTCCAAATTAGTACTGAGCCAGGCATGCATCTCAGCTGTGACTAATTAAAGTGCCTCTTAGATGTTAATTGCTGTCATCTCCCACATGTGGCTGGCACCTGACAGTGTAAAGGCTTATCTTCCTTTCTGTTCCAGTTGAAAGTCAAGTGGGTTACCTCAAGCGGCCTGAAATAAGATAGCTTGTTTGACAGAAAAGCATCATGCAGTCAGCAACAGCCAAGAGGATGTTTGTCTTCTCGTTCTTCTGTCTGTGCAGTGTGAGAAGGATCAGTGTTGTGTAGATGGGCTGAGTCTCCCCCAGTGTCTTGAGCTGAGCTAAGGGGCACCTCTGACTGGCCCCGGGTGTTTCTGTGATTCAGGGTAGAAGCTCAGATTTGGGCCAGGCCTAACAGAACTAGAGATGGCTGACATATTCCTGTGTCTCTTAGAAAAATGTGCTGCTACCTGGTATTGGTAGAGCATTTTAGGATCTGGTCTCTGTGGAAGTAGTCAGGTTTGTCAGCTGTGCTGAAGTGGTGAGTTGGGGCAACACAAGAGGTGGTAGAACTGCACAAAACTTCTCAGGCTTGAGAAATTTGTGCCGAACTAGCATTCAGGTGCTCTTGCCTTTGTTTAACAGCGCAGTATTCCAACTATCATTTCAATCAGTTTTTTGTTTTAACTTGTACTAATTTCATTTGTTTTGTAGCACGTTTAAAATCTTGTTTTCAAAATGTGGTTTGTCTTTTTAATGCTTTCAGCTCTGCTTGTTTGTACGTTTTAATTTTTGTTTTCCTTTTTTGGCATTTGTTTTATTTTACATCACCCTCCGGGATCCCCCAATATTGACCCTGTGACCTGTGACCTTTCAACCTACATCCCTACAATGATTTCCTCCCTTCCTGTGACCTCTTTTGGGGCTTGGTGCTTCTCCACCTAGTAGTTTAAGACTAGCCAAAAATGCAAAGCAAGGCTTGAATAACTCTCCTCCAGTGAAAGAGCTGAAAGAATCCTCTGCAGTTGATGCCTTCCGATCCCGCAGCATCAGTGTGTCTGAACATGTGGTCCGCAGGTAGAGGCACTTTAAATGGGGAGAATCCAAGAGCAACTCAGCACTTGGAAATTTTACTGCAAGGGTGGGTGGAAGCAGGGTGGATTTGCATGTGGGATGCTTGCATGACTTTGTTACGCAATAAAAAACTGGCCTTAGCCACAGTCAGGTTTTGGGAAAATATCATGGATATCCCATGGCTTCCCAATGCTGGCTGTTGGGTTGTCACATCACACCCTATGTTGTGTGTCGTTACTTTGCCCTATTCTCTGATGCTTCAGCAACAAAAATTTCTGTTTTCAAAGTAAAGATGGTGAAGGGGGGGGGAAACAAACAAACAACAAAAAACACTAAAAAAAAAAAAAAAGGAAAAAGGTTGCATTCTGTGTAAGTGAGTCCTGATTAAAACTCATTGAAACTTCAGCCTTCTAAGCAGTGACTTGCCCCAGGAGGGGCTTTTGGTACTCTGCAAACTTATATATAGGCCCTGCTCCCAAACTATGAGGAATAGTTCTGGCCTCACTTTAGGATTTGTCCTTCGAGGCAAAAGGAGCTGACGGAAGTATTCTGGTCTAAAGTACGATGCCATGAAAACCTTAATTTGTCTTTCCATAGAGCAGTGAAATGTATGCTCAGCCCATATGAAGCTATTGCTTTCACGACTAAAGAAAACAAGTTTTGATGGCAGATGTTGATTTGATCACATGAAAGATGAAACAGTTTATGCTAGTTTTTAAAACATATTTCTGGATCACTTCCCTTGAGTGTTAAACTGCTGTCTATAACATGTTGGTTTAAAATCTGAATCTGAAGATTTGTGCCTTAATCTATAAGGATTGCTGTCAGTGGAACTTTATATTCTGTGGTTTTATTTTTGGCTATGACTATATGGTATTTGGGGGAAAGACACTCAAGTGACTGAATTGTGAATACAATTCTGGCACTTCATTCTCTGATATCCCCATTAATCTATTAGGTGATTTTCTTTTGTATTTATATGTAAATGGTAGCAACTAAAAGTTCAGATAATTACCCTTAACGATGCCAAAGAAGTTGCCACGTCATAAAAAATTTGGCTGTGCTTCAGCTTAGTTTGTATTACGATGGCATAAGGAGTCGTCTTTATAAAATATTGTCATCCAGTCTGTTATTGCAATTGTTTTAAATTGCGTTGCTAACTTGGCTGATTGGAAGGCAGAGTTGCTATCTATTCTTGTGCCAATGTCCTGTTCAGAGTGCAATTTTTTTCTATTTCAAGTTAAATTAGGTTTTACATAGCTATTGAATTTGGAGAGAAAAAAATCAGTATGTGAAAGGGGTGCAACAGAGAAAAAAAGCAAACCACAGCATTATAAAGTTAAGTCTAAAGTGCCCTGATTTATGGCTCATGGGCAACATGTTGCCTGGGAAACGCAGATCACGGGACGCTTGCCCTCACTGTAGATTAGCGAACTCAAAGCTTGGTGCTGCCACTCACTATTTGCTTGGTGCACTTGCCCATGGGCCACCCAACATCAGAGAGCACTGGCCTGACCCAGTCAGCTGACAGACATTTAAATGTTTCTCGGTCTCTCAAGGTGAAATACACTTTCTGTAGTGACAATCTACAAAGCACAACATGAGGCTGATCCAAAAATATTTTTATTATGTCCTGGGTTTGATGTCTGGCCACGTCTCTGATCTGGCACATGCATGTATCGCAGGTTGTTCTGCATCACATTGTCTTTCGGGTGACAGGGACAAGCATTTTGCAATGTGATCTGTCAGTTGGAAACATTCTCTTCTAGTCGGATACAAACATCCATTACTAGTTCAAGCCTGGGCTCTGCGGATGAAAATTCAATGGCTCAGGCTGATGACAACTTAAAAAATCTCCACCTGGAACTTACTGAGACCTGTCTGGATATGATGGCTCGATACGTCTTCTCAAACTTCACTGCGGTGCCTAAGAGGTAGGGGTCAGTCGGTGACCGTGGGAGAGATGTTTTTGTTTGAGGTTCATATTTCACTTTATTAGTGGAAAATTACCATGACACATTTGAGATTCTGGCAGGCCCAGGCTCTGAAGCCATTCCTCGCAGATAAAATCTGGCTTGGCTAAATATGAGGTTAGATGAGAGAAGTCCATTGGAGCCAACCAGCCTTTGCCTCAGCGTTGAACTGTCCAGAACGATATGCCTTGAAGGCATGCTGTCTGTGAGCAGTGCTTTGCTCCATGTCTTTGCTGGATAATTGCAATCTTCTCTACGGAACTGTCACGCCAGCTGGCTTCAAATGGAGGGCTAAATGCCCTCCAATTAAAGAAAAGTAAATCTTTTCTTGCTAGCCCTTCCCAGAAGGAGACACATAGCTCAGACGGGGCTTGTTCCCTTCTGCTCTGTGATGTGCATCCAGGATTGAACTAGACTGCTCTGTAATGTGTGTCCAGTAGTACTGCTATCCAGTGATACTAAATTCAGCTCATCCCTTCCCATGATGGATAATGTGTATGTTGATGACCAGCGGGTATGTTAAAAATGCTGTATAAAGAAGGAAAGCAGGCAGTACTTCCTACGTAGTTACATGAAACAAGCCACCTGTGTAGGTTCTGTGCTCTGCAGCCTGAGAGCTGTGTTCATCACAAATGTATTTCTAGGTCTCCTGTGGGTGAGTTTCTGCTGGCTGGAGGAAGGACAAAGACGTGGCTGGTTGGTAACAAGCTGGTGACCATCACTACAAGCGTTGGAACAGGGACAAGATCGCTGCTTGGCCTAGATTCTGGAGAGCTCCAAAGCAGCACAGAATCAAGGTAAATTTTGCTCCCATTTCTAGAAATTTCCACCTAACGGATTCACTTAAACCACTGTTACAATGCATCTTTTTAGGTTTTCCACTTACCAGAAGAGGAATGTCTTCTTGTCCAGCGTGACTGATTCCTCTCTCAATATCATCAATATCTTTTTTTTTTTTTTCCCCACAGCTCAGACCCTGTTTTCCAAGTGAGACAAACTAAAGAAGCTCCAGCAAAACTGGAATCTCAAGCTGGGCAGCAGGTTTGCAGAAGCTCTCGCAACAGAGTCCGATCCATGTCTGGTAAATTCCTATCCTGGAGTCTTACTGCCGTTTCTGGATCCATGTTGCAGTCTTAAATGTCCAAGTGCCTACTGAAGAGACCTGTGCCTAAACTAATTTGAGAATCTGGACCTGTGTGGTATTTAATAATGGGCAGGTAGCAGCAGCTGATGGCCTCAGGAGTGGTGGTGCTCCTCCTCCTCGGCTCTCCTTGCAGGAAAGCTTTGGTGATTGGTTAAGTGGTGAGCACTTGCAGTAAGAATCACCTATGTTTATCTAACCTCATGGTTTGTAAGAAACACATTCAAGGTAAAGTTCTCTTAGGTTCCCAATATTGTGAGCGCAGCTGCTAGAGGAGCTTAAAAGACTTAGTACTTCTGAGATATTTTTAGTACTAACTAAGCATGGCTCTCCCTTCTATTTTGTGTCTGTCTTGCTAGGTGGTCATGCCTTACGTGTTGGTGCCTTAGACAGCTCAGCCTCCCATTTCCCCAGTGGCTCGGCTTCCCAAGGGACACAGAGTCCTCCTGCTCCTGCATCTCGATCAGAGAAGACTAATCCTGCTCCACAGACACCTCTGCAGAAAGAAAAAGCAAACTTAGCTGCATATGTCCCGCTGCTGACACAGGGATGGGCAGAAATCCTAGTGCGCAGACCCACAGGTATCTTTACCTGACTGTGGAGTGAGCTCTTTTGACTTGCTAAGAAACCGGAGCCTGAATGAAGGAAGAAAAATCCATATTTAATTGCAAATGGATCTCTTTATTGCTTGCTGCCTCTTGAAACTAATACGTCTGATACTTGATTCTTTGAAATCACTCTTTAGTGTTTTAAATCTACAAAAAACCTGTGAAAAGATTGAAGCAAGGACTTAAATTTATATATTAAGTACTGTTACAGAAATAGAGCCAGGTAGTATCAACCCTACTTTGCATTTTCCATTTTTACACTGCTCTATGGTCTTTCTTGAAAATCTGTCGTGCTATGTTTGAGCTTCCCATGCTAGATTTGAGATGAATGAGGCTTATGGCTAGAGCAGCTGCATGGTTGTGTCTGCTGTTAGGGAAGAAGTAATGACATGTTCAAGGTCAGAATTCTTGAATACTGGTGTGTGACACAACATTAATAGGGAATTGTCTATTTTAGCTCTTCATGAGAAAATAACTGACCTGGTATCATTAATTAAAATACCTGAGTGTTTGGATGCCTTTTGGGAATCTGCTGTAGTGATGAGTTACCAAGGATGGTTTTTGAAGAGCTTTGGGAGCTACTTACTGAAACTAGGAAATTGGAACTTGGTCCATTTTGATTTTTACTTGCACAATCCAAAGCAATTTGTGCTTTTTTTGATGTGAGTTGTGAACTTTCTGGAGTTGGGAGTGCTTAATACTCTTCCCTAATTTTCTCTTACCAGGTAACACAAGCTGGCTAATGAGTCTGGAAAACCCACTCAGTCCATTTTCTTCAGATATTAACAATATGCCCCTGCAAGAGCTCTCTAATGCACTCATGGCTGCAGAGCGTTTTAAAGAACACCGAGAAACGGCTCTATATAAATCCCTCTCTGTCCCCTCCTCCAGCTTGGCCACCGGGACAGCCAAACCATCGCTTCTCCAGCGTTCCAACACAGGTGAGGGATGTCAAGCCAGTAGCGTGTCCAGCATAGCTGTCACTAGCCTGTTTAAAGTCTGTTGAAGTTACTGCAGGTCTTCTAGAACAGTAGAGTTAGCATGAGGAATAACATGGCAATGAGAAGGGGAATCAGTTCTTGTCCATAGAAATGTTCAGTAAAAAATTCCCTTCCTCCTTGCTTCTCATGTTCCATCAGAAGAGTACTTCTCTTTCTTAAAGAAGGGAGGAGTAAGAGAGCTTCTTTGGAGAAGTAACGTGTTTACTGCTAGCTGTTTCCCAAATGAAAGTGAACAAAGTCATGGGTCTTTTCCCTCTTCCACTTTCTTGGGGCTGATCTGGGCATCCCACACGTGGATGGATCTTCCCATGGAGCATTTCCATTTCCATTTGTCTTCAGTGTGGGAGTTTGTGTTGGGCACTAAGAGCGCTAGGTTCCTGGGAGAATGGCCTATTACAAACCTTGCCAGCCAGGGTCAGTTAGCTGCCACCGTCTTTTACAGCATGAGACAGCAGAATGCAAATCCTGTTGGCTGCGGGTTTATTCACCTCTTAAAAAGACTGTTCAGCCTTCAGACTGGTGCAGTTGAATCACTTGAGTTTCTTTTGATGGCTTTATTTTAACATAGTGGCCAGGGCTTTTCACTCTCTTTACTTTGGTGCTAGTTCACAGCTGCTAATGTTGGGAGGTTAGTGTTGACCAACAGCTGACATTTGTAAAGCTTTATGTAACCCCTGCTCAGAGCTCCTACCAACATCATCTAACATTGAGGCTCTCAGCACTGCTAGCACAATCAAAACTCAGCAGTGGTAACAGCAGACAAGGCTTTTCTGGGGAGGTGGCATCAATCGTATGGATTGTTTGGAAATCTGGTAAAAATGCTAGTTTTCAGGTTTTTTTTAAACAGGGCAGGGTATAATTTTAGGGTTTCAGAATGCGTAAACACAAAATTAGAGTCAAAAATCAAATTATCACCTTTAAAAAAAAATTTAAATTAATATCTGTGAACACTTTTATAGACTCCTACGAATTTGTGGTATATAGGTGCTAAGTGATTAGTTGAAAGAAGCACCCACCTGAATGCCACTCCTGTGGCAGTCTGAGAAAATAATTTTGGCCACATTCTTGGTAACACAACTTCTACAGTAGACTTGCCGGAGCTAGCTGGCAAATGAACCTTTTGAAGAAGTTTTGCTGTCAGACTGTCATATGCATGTTGTTGTTCTTCTTTAGAGGTTAAAACTGTGTGAATCTTTATCCATATTTCTACTCTTCAGACTCTTCTGTGGGTTTAAAAATGATCTTTTGCCAAAAGTGTGTAGCTCAGGAAAAGCTCAGACTGGTTTCCTGCATGTGCTAGGGTATCACTAAGGAATTTTCTGTTTCTAAAATTCACAAAGATGCATTCTTCAAAGAGAGTGGTTCGAGTCTGCATTGTTTGAATGTGTTTATGCCTCCTTATTCATGTTGAGACCTTGTACCCTTAAAGTATCCCTTTGGCATCTAGTGAGCTTATCCCAGCTTGTTCTTTCCTTTGTTTTTATTTATTTATTTATTTATTTTTAAATAGGCTCTTGTTTACATTTTAAACTCTGTGCTTTTTAATTTTTTTTTTTTCATATAGTCTCTCCTTCCTTTTGATGTAGCTGCTCACTTGATTTCCCTTTGCAGTGGCCTCTTTCTCTTCCATGTACCAGTCCAGTTGTCAAGGGAAGTTGCACAGGAGCATATCCTGGGCAGGTATATTTATATATCTTTAAGGAAAAAAAAAAAAAAAAAGTATTGCCATAGAAGAACACCTCTGATTCATAGAAAATGTATCCCTCATACTTCATTTTCCCCTTCCATGTCTCCTGTCTGTACCCAGTCTCATTACTCTCAACAAATGGGATCTTGACTAGCATGAAGAAGTCCAAGCCAGATCCAACATTTGCAAGTGCAGACAATTTCTTAAAGCAACTTTTGTTTTAGCTGGGGCGGATTGTGAGTCATGAGGCATGGTGTTAAATGACCCGTCAAAATGTCTGAGTGGCTTGATTAATTGAATTATTTATTTTCATCTTCATTTTACAATTGGCTTTGTGTTCTGCTAAATGTAAAAGCTCCCACATCTGAGAATAGCGTAGTATGCTACAGGCCAAGCTACCCTGAAATGAAGTCCCATGCTACTCAGCCCACAGGAATCTGTCAGAATCGGACACAGAAAAGATAAAAGGAGCTGATATATATATAAGAGAGAGATATCTATATTTATAAAGTTTGATGTTACAACGGATGCTGGTTAAAAGTTTTTTAAATAAGAAAAGAAGAAATATATTTCAGGGGAAAACCTGCTAAATTATAGCTTTTTGGAGGCTCTATAGTAGTGTAAAAATCTTTATCCACTTCAGTAAAACTGCCTTCGTAATTAAATGAGGTGGAGATCAAATTGCACACCTTATGAGCACAACACCTGCATTGCTTTGATAATCTGCAATGCTTTGTGAATTTAATTAGAGGGTTGAAATGTCATTCTGCTTTCTTTCCTTCGCTGGAAAATTCTCTGTAGAGCAGCGGGGTATTCTTAACTGCTGGTTGTTGTTGACATAGGCCTCTTAAAGCAACACAAAGATGCTGCAGTAAAGTATTTTTCTGTACTTCTCTCTGTTTATATTATTCTCTTCCCACCTAAAGAATAATTAGTGAGTGCTCGCATTATTTAAAAACACCAGCAATCTTGGCAGTAGTGTAAGAGCTAGGGAAGCTTGGAAACACTGGCTATATGCAGGTGTGTTCTGGCTTGGACAGCTAACCAGATCAGCACGTTGTTTTGGGGTTTTTTGTTTTGTTTTGTTTTTAGAAGGTATGTGTGTGCAATGCTAACTCTTATTGCTTCTTTGAAATAACTTTGGTCCTGCGAGCTGAAATCAATCCAGGAAAAGCTGCTTTAGTGATTTTTTTTTCTTTTTTTTAATTTTGCTGATTTTCTTTATTTTTTGTGTGTGCTAATTTTTTTTTTTTTTATTTTACTTTGGAAAACAAATCTTGGCCTTTCAGATTGGTCTTCCAGCCCCTTGTGTGCGTAATGGGAAGCCTCCTGTTCTCCAGCCTTTTCCTCAGGACAAAAAAGCAAGGCCAAGAGGAGCCTTTGGTCAGACTCATCCCTGTGGTCAGGGGCGCTGCCTGGAGTAGAGACAACGTTAAATGCTGCGATAACCTCCTCCACTGTAGGCAGGGTTTCCAAGGAACTTTCTTGTCAGTGTGGTTTCATTAACCATTTGTCTGATCAGATGGCACATGCAGGTTTCCCAGTATTGCTGCAGTGCATGTATTACTCTTGCTCTCTTGTCCTTTCATATGTCTATGGCTGAATTGTTTTACTTCTACTGAGACATACTAGGAAAACTGCCAAACTGCAAGTAAATGGCTCCTAGTAAAATTTTTTATCTCCTTCTAGGCCACTACAAGGCACAGGAGCATTGCATTTCAATACAAGAAAAACTTACTTTTTTGCACACTTGCATAGAACTGATGTCTTCATTGCCTGGATAATGATGAACTTTTAATGCTAGTCTTGTACTTTCTTACATCTCTGTAGTTCCTGTCTGTCCTGATAACCGAGCATTGATGTACAAGGTCCCATTTCCTCATTCTGTCCCCTGCTTGTTCATCAGTAACAATTGGAAACAACTGCACTTATTTTGACCAAAGCAGACGCAGCCCTTTGCTGTGAGGGTAAGGTGATAAGTTATTCTATACACAAGGGGAACCAGGAGCAAGTCTGACATGACAAGAAATCAAAGAACCAGAGCACTCATTCAATATGGCCTTCCGTTGAAATCCCGTAGGGAAAAGGCTGGTACTTCAGAGGAGAGGATGGGGGCCTGCCAGTCTGTGCCTCTCTACAGACTTCAGTTCTTCTGCCTTGTGTCTCGATAGAATCAGCGGTGGTGCTGGAGGAAGGGAGCCCGTCGGAAATGGAGCTAAAGGAAACCGAGTCCCCAATTGAGTCTCCAGAGAGTGAGGACATTGAGACTTCATGTTCTGAACAAGTCCTGAGCGAGGAAAGGTTTGGTAAACCCCAGGAGTCTTATAGCAGGGTAAGAAGAAACAGTTGAACCCATTCTGCCCTGTATGACAGCCCCGTCTTTAGACAGACGGGAGAATTGTCTGTGCTCAGATGAGTCCCTCTCAGCACCCTCTGAAAGAACTCACTAATGATACCAAAATGCACATGCAGTCATGATTGAGAGTTTGGGTGGCTTGTGAGGGACTGCATGCAGACCAGCAGCAGTAAATACCTGTTTTATGTAGGGTCCTCTATCTGCATTGCTTTGTACTTGGCACCTTTCTGCTCATCTTTCACTGGAAGTGTCAGGGGGTGCCTTGAGCGTTACTGTTGTCAGCTTTTATTTTGCCTATCAGGAAAACTGTTCATCTTTGTTTCTCCCTCTTTAAGTCCTCCTCAACCTCCAGCCAAGAAGAAAAATCTCTGAAGTCGGAAGACCTGGTGGAGGGTGGAATTCCCATTGGGAGAGTCCTGCCATCAGAGGACGGCCGAACACTGGAGGAGCTTTCCTTCCAGCCATCCCAGCCGCTCAGCAAGTCGAGTTCCTCCCCCGAGCTACAGACACTGCAGGAGGTCCTTAAAGATGCAAATGGCAGAGAAGTAACAAGGAGGCTGAGCACAGAAGTGAAATCAAAATCCCAGTCTGGGAACCTGGAAGGGGAAGGGCTGGGCAGTTGGCTGGGCAAGGGGGAGGACGCCAGAGTGACTGGGTCAGGCGGGTTGAATGGCACTGGTCCTGTCACCTCACCTCGCTCTCCCTCTGGGCACCGGCCCCGAGGATACACCATCTCTGACTCAGCCCCATCAAGGAGGGGAAAAAGGATCGAGAGAGATGCCTTCAAGAGCAGAACAGCAGCCTCCAATGCTGAGAAAGTACCCGGAATAAACCCAAGGTGGGTGGAGGGGCTTATCTGAAACTAGAAATGGTGAGCTCAGAATTGCTGCAGCCATGGCTGGATTCATTTGAAGTGGTCTGCTGGTTTTGGGGGATCTACAAAACAGTATCTGATTAAAAAGAAAGATTAATTACCTGTTCTTTCAGGAGCTAATACAGACGTGTTTAACCACCAAATTAACTTTGTGATTTAGGGAACAGGTCTCTTACATGGTCAAAGAAATAGATAAATAGTTTCTTCATGTTCTTAATCTATCCCAGTTTAGGGTCCAAATCCACATGTGGCTTGAATGCAGGTCACCTAGAGTTAATTTTGCTGCGAACAGGATGAATTACTAGTTTTGCAGTTCAAGAAATACAATGTGCAAAATACTAAGAAGAAGGAAAAGAAGGGGTTATAATAGTTGCTTTTTGAGCTTTAGATAGTGATTGTTGCCCAAAATTGCATTATGAGACAATCTTCATCTTATTGAGGGCAGGTAAAATGCAAATGTCTGTAAAATCATTTATCTGCTAGCCTAGCAATACTCCCCGTAGCTGTGAGGCAGGAGTGCACTCCTATTCCTCCGTTCGGTGTAAAGATTGCCTTTTGAATGGGGGAATTTGTGCAGCTGCTGCTGTTTGATATAACCATTGTTTTTTATGACAGGTTCTATTACAAACTGCAGGTAGTCCAGGCACCTGAAGTGTCTCTAGAAGATGAATAATACTCTGTTAGCATTTTAATTGCTTCTCTTTTTCTTCTGTACGTAACATTCTTACATACAACAGATCAAAATTGCCTTAATTTTTATAGTAACAGGACTTTTTTTCCCCTTCTCTCCCTTAGCTTTGTGTTTTTGCAGTTGTATCACTCCCCATTCTTCGGTGATGAAAACAACAAGCCCCTTTTGTTGCCAAATGAGGTAGGCAAGGATTTTTTTTTAAATTCTTGTAGTTAATTTTTCTAACCTCATTACTTTTTTTTGAACATAAATGATAGTAATGGATGTCCAGCTCAGATGGTGCAATTTAAAGGTGTTTCCTACCAACAGTGCTACAGATGGGAGGATTTTCTGTACCCCAGTCCTGGTGGCTCCTGCTTTATGGCTCTGGATTGAATTTGAGCTATTGGAGATTTTGCTGGTGCTGTTTCAGAATCCCAACCAGAAGGCAGGATGGTTTTGGAGTTTTGGTTCTTGTGGGTAGGAGGAGTGCAGGATGAAAACTGAGCATTAGGTGATATTGGCAGAACATCACTAGACAAACCTGTCAGGCCTCCGTATAACTGGGAGTGGCCAAGAAGCTTCCTGTGGCCATATGAGAAATTAGTTATAAACTTCCTGGAGAAGTAGTGCTGGAATGGGGTTCTTGTGAACTGAGCGCCACAGGCCTCCGGCTGGTAATTTCCCCTCACTTTAGGTTCAGGTGGTCAGGCAGCAGGGAGCCTAGGTGAGATGAGGTGATGCCTTGTGCTAAAAATGTTCTTCAGAGCAAGAGACATGACAGTTTTTCATGCCTGGAGCTTAAATGAAGATACGATGTAATTTGTCATGGCAAGTGCATCTAACCTGTGCAGTTTGCCAGATTAATCTCATCTGAAGTATAAAACCAAGAAAGTGTGGTGACAAATGCCATATAGCACTGCTCTGTACCTTGGACTGATGATGCGCTGTGCGCTTGCAGAACATGGTAGGGCAGCATTTATCAAGGAAGACCCTAGTGAAGGTCAGAAATCTGTGCTTACATTGTGCTGTTGTTGTCCTGAAGGGGTTTTAGGGAGGGCAGTGAGTGTGTGGAGGCAAGTTTTTAAAGATGTGACCAATGTTTTGATTGTAGACGTTTGAAAGGTCGGTGCAGCTCCTGGATCAAATTCCTTCTTATGACACACACAAGATTGCAGTGCTCTACGTTGGAGAAGGCCAGGTGAGTTGTGTGCAGATGCAGTAATCCTTTAATGGTTACATCTCAACAGAAGGCCAGGCACCACTACTCCAGCTGTGAGATTTGTCCTGCCCCTGCAGCAGCCTTGCTTTTCCTTAGTTTCTTGCACTAAAAATCAGTGCCTGCATGAAGCCCTTGTAGGAAGGTCACAACCTAATCGCTTACGCTGATTGAGTGCTCTTAGGATTCAGTGTGGGACTCCCATGTTCTTATTTCCTAGAGCAACAACGAAATCGCAATTCTGTCAAATGAGCACGGATCCTATCGCTATACAGAGTTCCTGACTGGGTTAGGGAAGCTCATTGAGCTCAAAGACTGTCAGCCAGATAAAATTTACCTTGGTGGCCTGGACGTGTGTGGGGAGGATGGACAGTTTACCTACTGTTGGCACGATGACATTATGCAAGGTAAGGTGGCTCCAGAAATTGGAAGTGGAAGGATGGTCTCTTCTCATCTTAAGACTGACCTGCCTTCTACAGACTGTTTCCTTTCCAGGGATGTAGTAAAGATGACCTCGGGCTCTGTTCTCCTACTATTCTCTCTCCGTATCTCTGCAAGCCATGTGTTAAAGTTTGGGAAAGGTGCCTGCCTTATTTAAGAAAAAAAAAAAAAAAAGAAGTTAGGGAAGCTCATTGAGCTCAAAGACTGTCAGCCAGATAAAATTTACCTTGGTGGCCTGGACGTGTGTGGGGAGGATGGACAGTTTACCTACTGTTGGCACGATGACATTATGCAAGGTAAGGTGGCTCCAGAAATTGGAAGTGGAAGGATGGTCTCTTCTCATCTTAAGACTGACCTGCCTTCTACAGACTGTTTCCTTTCCAGGGATGTAGTAAAGATGACCTCGGGCTCTGTTCTCCTACTATTCTCTCTCCGTATCTCTGCAAGCCATGTGTTAAAGTTTGGGAAAGGTGCCTGCCTTATTTAAAAAAAAAAAAAAAAAAGTCACACCACTTACTTTTCAAATAGTCTGCTCTATTAAAGGTTGATATCGTTTGGTGTAGAGGTTTGTAGAATAAGCTGTTTGTTCTTGAGCTGCTATGAAGGCTGTTAATTGAGAGTAGTGTTTGCATGTCAAAACTCTGCTAATTGTTTCTCTGAAGAACAGTATTGAAAGCAGGAGGGTTGTCATTACTGTGGTCATTGCTAATTGAACTGCAGCGGTACCCAGCTCCTGCAGCACCAAGCAGTGCAGATATCATCCAGGATCCAACAAGCTGTGATGAACTTCCCAATTTTTTTCGTACAGCTCTGTGCATCCCAGTCATCATACTTAGTCGGGTTCAGTGGAGCAGCTGCAGGTTACTCACTGTGACCCTGGTGCTCTGCAGAGCTCAATTAGGGGAACGCCTGGTTTAAGCTATTTAACTCTTCCTCCTCAAACCAGATGCTACTCACCATGCTACTGTGGCCATGGAAAAAATACCCAGAATCACTTCTGCAGTCTTCTCTTTATTTTCTACAGATAGATAGCTACCCCAGCTTGATTCTTCCAGTATACATCAGGCACATGCTGAAAGCCAGGTCATTAATTCGCTTTGCTGAGCCTGGCGCTAGAAAAGACTGTGCAGGGCAGTACCTAAAAACTGGCAAGAGCAGAGCCTTCAGAGGCTGCCTTTTCGCTGGCCGTTGCGCTCTGTGCTGCGGGTACCATGGGAGCAATCCAGCGGGACTGGATTCGGCTGTCACAAATGGGGCCAAACCTATCGAGGGAGCACAACTTACATTTTTTACTATTGTGGTGCTGGTACTACTTTGTCTTCCAGGCAAGTGCTGCATGTTGACCATTGCTGCCTTCAGCACTGCTTTCCCAGGCCAGCCTAAGGATTTTTCTGTTTCCTCTTCAGCCATTTTCCACATTGCTACTCTGATGCCCACAAAGGATTTAGATAAATATCGCTGTGACAAGAAAAGGCACCTTGGGAATGATTTTGTTTCTATCATTTACAACGATTCTGGAGAAGACTTTAAACTGGGAACAATAAAGGTACAAGATTTTACTTGTGGGTGTGTTATAAAACAGGCATGTGGCTGTTTGTAAAACCTTAATCTGATGTGTGTTATCTTAGCAGTGTTGAGATCACACATGGAGGTTATTTGCCTTGGCGGGATCACATGTGATAGTTCATGGCATTCACAAGAATCGCGATGGCTGCCAGTAAAGTGTGTATGACTATTTTACTGTTGTCTCATTAGGGTCAGTTCAATTTTGTGCATGTTATCATCACACCACTTGACTATGACTGTAACCTGGTGACGCTGCAGTGTCGGAAAGGTAGGAATCCCTCCAGCCTTTGTTTTCAGTCTTTCCTGTATTGGTGGTGCAATAACTGCCTTCACTTCGCAAAGTTTTTGTGTTTCGAAAGTAAAAACTTCCAGGAGAAACTCTCTGAAACCAATTTGCTGCCGTGTTATGTCTGGATATGTCCTGTTCATTTATCTTCCCCAAGATAAGAGGTATCTTCCCATTGTACCACTCATACTATCTTCAAGCTTAAGACAAAGTGCCAGCAGAGCAGAGCAGGTCCCTCGAACAATTGCTTGGGAATACTGGAGGAGATAGGAGGTGGAGGTCCCTGCGGCTTTGGCCTCTGCTGTCCTTCCCGGCACTGCAGGACCTGATACTTGGAAACTGATCATGGCTCCATGTGAGGTCAGCAGTGCTGGTGCAGTGATCTGCAGGGGCGTTTGCTTTCCTCTTACCAAAGAGGGTCTTCTGGGGTGCTTTTCGCTCACACTTTGGTTCATGTGATAAAGAGCCCAGCAGGCTCTCCTCAGACCTCCACGGAGCAGCCAGAATTTGAGAGCCAGTTGTGTTAAGTTGCAGTGCAAGTTCTGTTACAGCTGGAGCTGTAGAGCTCAGCGGGAACTTCTGAGACTCTGTGATGCAATTCCCCAGGTTTATATTACTTACCTATTTAGTTACTGGCAACCTTTGGCTTGTTCTTAACTGTCTTACAAGATTTTTTTTTCTCCTTCCTTTAAAACAAAGACATGGAGGGTCTCGTAGACACGAGTGTTGCTAAGATCATCTCCGATAAGAACCTGCCGTTTGTAGCCCGTCAGATGGCCCTGCACGCTAACGTGAGTACCCCTGAGCTCCCTGAGACAGTCTGCCTTTCAGCTGGTGTCTTGGTCCATCACCAGCTTCCAAGGAAATGAGTAGGGCTTGCTAAAGCAAATAAGTTTTCTGCTTCATTTATTGCTGTCAACCTTTAAGTCAGAGTTAGCATGTGAACAGTTATAACTTAAGCTGTATTTCAGTTGCTGTCAAACTGTACTGAAATGTTCTATTAATTTTATCGTCGTGCTTATGTTAATGTGCCTCCTTGCTTTTCCTGCTTCTCCCCCCGCTTCCCAAATTAGATGGCTTCCCAGGTTCATCATAGTCGATCAAACCCTACTGACACCTACCCATCCAAATGGATTGCAAGGCTACGTCATATCAAGAGGCTAAGGCACCGGGTAGGTAAAGCTGTCTGTTCTTAGTGTTAGAACTGGGCTCTACCTTAGAGCCTTATTACAAATAAGGCACGTAAAATCAGCTATCAAAACTTGCCGAATGAGAGGAGGAATGTGTGTATGAAGGTTAGAATCCAGCTCTTGTGGGAATGACAAGTGTAGTCATGTAGGTCTGGACTTGAGAGCTTCCAAAGAGCTTCCCTGGCCGCAAGGGGTTTGGGAACCCCCCAATATCTGGACACAGAGCTGCACCCACTCGGCACCGTGCTAGGGATGCTCGGACAGGCTGTCCTGAGTAACCTGCCCTGCCCTCCCCAAATGGAGAGTGAAAAGAGTTTCAGACAGAATGGAGCTCATCTGTTCTCGTTTGACTTTCAGCTACGTGAAGAAACCCAGTACCAGACTCCTGGCCTTCCCCTGCAGATGCATCCATCTGCCCCGACAAAGCCCCCTCCCCAGATCCCTCAGGACCCTCCACCCACCTATGAGACTGGACAGAGGAAGCGGCTCATCTCCTCAGTGGACGACTTCACGGAGTTCGTGTAGGTCCCAGCAGGTCAGTGTGTCTGTTCTGGGACAGACGAGGCAGCGAGAGCGTTTTACCTGCGTGCTGACTCCGTGCGGCTGCATGGACACAGAGGAGTAGGGTTTGGGAGGCGCAGTGTGGCTGTGCTGCTTGCAAGCGGACTCAGCGTTGAACCGTACCGGGGGGCTTGAATATTTCAGTGTCTCAGCCTGCCACCGTTGCCTGATGAGGACACTGTATCCCCAGCAGATGCTCCAAGAGAGGACCAACTCTACGTGTTTTGTTTTTATTTGGTTTGAGCTATTTCAAGGCTTCCATCTCTGATGGGGACTTTCTTGCAGAACCTTTCTTTGGACTCCTTCCATACCAGCATCTGGTGGAAGCAGACAAAGTAGGATATTCTGCAGTTGATCATGTAGTTGGAAGGTGCAGGAATTGTGGGAATTTTGACAACTTTATTGGGAATGAAATATGAAGTACTGAAAATCCAGTCACTATTTCTAAGGACCCTAGAATCCCGGCTCCTCTCCAGGCCTTGGTGCCTCTCAGCATTTGAACTCTTCAGGCTCTCAGTCTTGTTCTGCTGCCAGCTCTGGTGAGAGTTAATTTGGCTTCTCGAGTGACCTGCCATCATGCTGCTTCCATTCCCACGGATTTGTCTCCATTTTGAGAGATACGCAGCGAACCCTCCCTCCTTCAAGCAGAAATGATTTTGCTACCAGAAGCGACACAGAAGAGGGAGGTGGGTGCTGCTCGCCGGAGCAGCAGAATGGCAGAGCGCGGGGGCACCCATCACTTGCGATGAGCAGTCTGACCCGCCGGGCTGACTGCAAGGGTTGAGCCAGAGGCCAGACCTGGCTTCGAGGTTCAGCTGCAGAATTTCCGCTGGTGGCAGCGGTGCTGGGATAACTCTTGTCCTTCTCAGTGCACCCGGTAAATCCCTTTTTGAAAGACTGTTGACGTGTCTTGGGGCATCGTCTCCGGGTGAGTTTTGCCTGTTGCACTAACGCATAGTGACAGTCCCTCCTCCTGGGACCTCGGCTGTTGAAGCAGTTAACAAGCGGTCCTCTCGGTGCACGCGTGTACAGGTGGAATGGGATTATGTAGCCCATCTTGTGGCAAGATGGTCATCAGACACTACACTACCAAATTGGGAGAAACCACGTAAGCTGGACTATACTGTGAGTACTTTATCTCCTGCTTTGTCAATAAATGGGAAGCGTGGCTTTTTGGTAACAGGTTAACAGCAGCGCCCTTGCATTGGAGATGAAGACAAGTGCAATCTGCACACGGAACTGTGAAGTGACAGGCGAGGGGACAAAAGTGATGCTACTAGCTTGTGCAGGGCTGTTTGGGAACTCTAAGTGTATGTTGTGTTTTGAGTGTTTATAAGTCGTAAAGGAAATAAAATATTTGTATGGTCAGTGGGTTCTTGCTGGCCTGGGAAGATTCAAACTGTTTCGTAATAATGTAAATGTAAATTCCTCCTCCTCTCCCCTTTCAGTTTTCCAATCCGTATGGCTCATATTTCAGTAACCACCAGCCGCACCTCCAGTGCTGGACACAGTGCGATACCTGGCTGCGTTCCAGTCCCTGTACTGGGGATATTCCCTCTGGTTCAGCGTCAGGTAACCTCTACAGCGGGGGTTTTCTGTCGGCGTTTCCCACCGCAGCTGAGCCAGAGCAGCTCCCTTGCCCTGGTGGGGGTTTGGGCAGTGGCAGCCTGGGCTCTCGCGAGCCCTGGTGCCCTACTCTGTCGTGGCTCAGTCTCCTTTAAGTCAACCGCAGACCCTTCACTGACAACCTGATGTCGTTAATTACAGCCCAGAGCTGCCCTAATAGGCTGGCTGATTTAATAAAGTGTCTTGTATTGTGCAGGAGACCTTAATTAAAATTCCAGTCCCAAAGAGAATGACAGTGGGGCGGAGAGGAACGTCTCTGGACTAGCTCTGGCTAGCGCTGCTTTGCCCCCGTGGCTTTGCTGAGCACTCGCAGGTAGCGCCGAGCGGGCTGGAGGGAGCGTAACAAAAGCACCACAGCCAGGTCGTAGCAGTCATCTTTTATTTGACCTTGTCATTTTTTTAAGAAACATCCCCACAGTTACAAAATACGGTATTTTTGTTTGCAGTGAAGTGCTGACCAGACAGTAACAGTTGGCATATTGGTCACAATCGTCTGTTCTTTCTTTAAAAAAAAAAAAAAAAAGCACTTATATAAGTCCCTCCCTCTCCCTTTTAAACTAATGGATAGGGTTTTTTATTTAAGCAGCTTGATACTGTTGCATCTTTGTGAGACTTAAGACAATAAATAAGAAACCATCTCTCCGTGACTACAAACACAGAAATATACATTCAGGAGTATTTATTGGCTAGGGCTGCAAGTCAAGTTTATTGCTGTAACTCCGGCTGCAGCTAAGTGCATGCATACGCGGTACCTTAGCTGGGACAGTGAAGGAACCCTGTGAGTGTTGCTATAGTTTGTACAAATAAATGCTGCGATGAGAACTAGGAGTGCTTGAAAGCTGTCAGTGGTGCCCACCACGCACGTGGGCCCTCGCGGAGGTGTTTGGCTTTTCAAGAAACAACTGTGGGTTCCAGAGCTGCTCTCCGTACTTCAAGTGAAGGAAAGAAGTAGGGCAGTTGTCTTGTCCTGTTTCTGCTCCTCTTTGATTAGAAGAAGCACTTGGTAAGTCACACGCATCACGTCACACTCACACACACGCAGAGCAAGCTTGGTAAGAAACAGGCACTTGGGAACAAAAGATCCTGACGCTTCAGTTGGGGAGCATCCTTGTTACACCTGCCCGCTCGCCTCCCGTTAGCTTATTCAAGGCTGTTCGAGCAGTCGCGTCCCTGCTCGCCCCTGCCTCTTGCCGCCGTCTCTCCTTCCTGCACTTAACTCCTAGTCACAACCTCTTTTAAATGAGCGTGGGGCTGGGGAGGGCTGAGAACTGAACTGTGGTTCTTGAACTGAATTTTTTAGCTTTTGAAGATGCAAGAGATTTCCAAGACCTGCTTGGTTCATTTTACTCACGGAACGCTCCCGCGTGGCCCTCGGGGGGCTGGATCTGCACGCGTTGCTCCACTGCAGCAGGAAAGGGATGCACGGGTGCAGCCCGGCGTGGAGCGGGAGGTTAAAAGTGGCTGTTCTGGTGCAGTTGTGCTGAGGAGATCTCCCACGTAATAACCCAAAAGGGGGTAAGAGCTGGTGGCCCACCCAGCAGCACATGCCAGCAAGCGCTCGCCTTTTTCCATCTCTGCTGGCCAAAAAAATTCCTGCACGCTTACACAGTAGTGTTAGAAGATGAGCAACCCGCTTTTGTCTTTGTGGGTAGTTGCTGTTTATGCAACTAAATACTTCTCCAATGCCTTTTCTTTTGAGGCGTAGCCAAAGAGTCAGAAACTTTGGCTTTAAGGACAGAAGTTGAACAGAGTTCCTGAGTTTCACCGAGGGTCTGTGCTTATCTCACCGAGTAGGATTTTGCTTTATAACCACATCCTTCCTAGCGCCAGGGAGGAAACATCAGAGGGGCACTGAGCTTAGCGGCTGGAGGCAACTGCAGAGGTGTGCCCAGTGCCGTTACCAGAGCTGCAGTGCCACATCCCAGGTAGCCTGGTACATCTCACAGCTGCTCGTTTTACTGCCTTAGGGGTTTTTGGACACAGCTTGCAGGCACTTGCACCAGCACTGTACCTGTCACCAAAAAAAGAGTCATGGGCATCTACCAGCGTTGAGCTTGGTGGCTGCACTGCTTGGCTAAGTAAAAGGAACCAAAAGCTACAAGGCCAAGAGTGTTAAATCTCTGGCTTGAAAGGCAGTTTCAGATGATACCAGGAGTTCTGGGGAAGATGGAGCTGTTTGTAAAAGGAGTAACAAATCATTTCTGCACAGCGCACAAAGCTTACTAACATCAGCACCTGAGCCGGCACTGGGCCCCAGCCCTGGGCTCACCTGGGCTCTGTGGACCCCACTGCTGGTTCTCCCTGCTCCAGGCACCTGCTGCCTCCAAGCTGGAATCCTCCATCTCCAACTACTGAACTCCAGGCACGTCTCTGTCATCTCCTCGTCTACCTGCCGGTTCCTTCCCATTATGAGAGCTCCATGGTTACTAGTATTAAGTTTTCTCACCTCTGCACTCTCCTTCCCTCTGTGCAATCTGCTCTTTCAACCACCTCTATCGTGACCAACCACCATCTCACTTTAAGTGATCTTCAGGCTACAGCACACTTATTTTCTCCTGCCCACATCCTTCTGCAACCTTTCCTTCGTATCAACTGAGATTTTCAGAAGTAACTTACACCAGTCCCAAAGCCATCACCAAGAGCACCCCTGTGTCCTCCTGCATCCTCCTTCAGTCACCCATAAGGGACGGGGGCAGGTGCCTGGAGCCAAGGAAGCATGTGGACAGCTGGAATGAAATCATCTTTAAAAGTATCTAACACAGCACGGCAGAAGTGCTGGGAGCTGGATGGGGAGACTCTGGAGGTGATGTGATCAGCAGTGGAAGTGGCTGAGCAGACCCCCTCTCTCTCTGCCCAGAAAGGTCTCCCCTGCCAGGGGCACGGGAAGGATGCGTCCAGGACCACCAGCACCAGAGGCAAGATGCAGTCCAACCCGAGGCGCAGTGCCTGCCTGGTCTCGCTGCCCAAGGCTTCCCTCCAAGCATGGAGCAGGTTTTGGGAACGCACCAACCAGCACAACGCAGGGCTTCCCACCCCTGCCACGCGCCGCTCCACCTGCAGGGACTGGCCCAGAGCCAGCCCGGCCGAACCTCAGCTGGGAGGAGAGCACACGCACCACATGCACACAGACACCTAATACTTTATATACACGGGACATTCCCAGGAAGAAGCACTTAATACATCCTTTAAATAACTCTGACAATAGTATTCTGTCTCCTATCTACATGTTTCAAACACGTTACCGATGCTATGAAAATATAGCAAACATACAAAAATATATACATTTAAAAAAAAAAGAAAAAAAAACACCGTATAAATTACTTACAATATACATAACG